TTTTTTTCCCCCCCCCCCCCCCCCCCCCCCCCTTGGAAGAGAGGCGTTCAGAGGCGCTCTGCCAACAGAGCCTCAATTCCATTGTCGTCGTACCACTTCGTGTCCCGTCTCAGGACTGGACTTCCTCGGCCCCTAGCCCCGGCCCGGCCCGGCACGCACCACCGTTGTGGTGTAGATGAGACGCCGAGGAGACATGTGTCAGGAGGTGGGATCCTCCGGATCCCCCCCCTTTTCGACACAGAGCGCATCCGCCTGCCACAATCATTGCGTGGGGACTCGTAGTTCTTGAGGCGGTCGTGCTCCTCCAGGGTGCGAAGAGCATGTGAAATTGGACATGAACGATGTCCTGATGCGGGCCCCGTTTCACTGCCCTCATGCCTCTATTTAGTACTCTTCCTTGAGGGCTGCGGTGTCACAACCCTTGGTGTGAGCGGTATAGGCCTTATCAAAAGAGATTTCTCTTTCACCCGTGCCTTGAGGTGGTTTCATTCTGGCACATGGTGACCACGAGTCCCACCCTTTCCTTCTCTTGCTCCTGAAAATGGCGCCAGAAAGGCGCTCATTGGGGAGCTGACACCCCTTTTTATAGACGGAAGCTGGTTTGGCAGAACAGACCAGGGCCTCCATCCGGTGGTGGTATGAGCCCTGCTGCTCCTCAGAGTCGGGCGTCAGCCGGCGCTTGTCCCATCACACACATCCTCTAGTTCGAGCGATGACGGTTATGCTGTCGGCCTTTCGAGGCCGGATGGTCTTGAAGTGAAGAGAGAAACTGCAGTAGTTGGTTCGGGAGACGGCGGTGATGTGGCCGTCTCAAAAGCTTCCTTGGGGGCAGCGATTCAAGTCTTGAGATCTTGATAATCGACGAGGTCAGGCTCGATGCCATCTGCCTTCGGGATGTTCTCTGCATCGACTGATTCAACGGAATAGACTGGTTCACGCCGGTTCATGAGAGAAAGCAGAGGTCCGGCGCGTGGCGGGACACGGTGCCCGGCAAAGACTTTTTGCCACAAGTGTGCAGCAGGGGAGAGAGAGCGGGGGATGAATCCCAAAGATGTGTCGGAAGTGTGAGGAGGGAGAAGGATGTAACAAGGAGGGAGAAGAGAAAGAGGATGGAGAAGAAGAAGTGGAGGGAGAGAACAAAAAGGTGCGAGCAGTCGCCGCGTCCATGGCCAGTTCCAACCCTCAAAAACCTCGTCGATCTGATAGACGAACCTCTGGGCGCCAGTGACGTTGAAAATGGTGGCGTTGACGGAGCAGCGGCGGTGCCGCTGTTACTTGTTGCTTGCGGTGGGTTTATTGATGCTCAGCCTCAGACGGGGACGACTGAGGGAGAGCTGGTGTTGGCACTATGCTTGGGCCGGCCGGGGGTTTCCTCAGGGCCCTTGCCGTGCCCATAACCTCCACATACCACTCTGGAAATCAGTTAATAAATACCATGGGTTTGAGGATTGATTGTGATCCTTACTCTTGACACGGTCATGTGAGCCGCGGACTCATGACCGCAGCGGTGCTCGTCTACAGCCACCCGGTGGAAAGCATGCGCTCGTGGAGTGGCCTGGCTGGGGAGAGCCTGTCGGCGGTCGTGCTATTGTGCTCGACGGTCGTGTGAGGCCAGTATGCCGGGGAGTCGACACAAGGCCGAGAGCTCCTGTCGCTACAGGTGGTCGACAAGAACCGGGAAGTCCACCTTGCCTGATTCGGAGCATGCTCTTGCCCTTCGTGTTTCCCAGGGTAATGGACGCGATCTCCCATGCAGGCAGGTTCTTGTGATAGGCCCACGGATTGTTTGCCTCCAAGAACTTGTGATCCTAATCCACTATCAGTTGACTACTCCAAGAATTTGCTGGTTGATTTCGGAGCACGTACGTTCGGGCAGAAGTTTCCATCATCGTCTTGGGCACGGCAAAGGCATTGTCCGTGTGTTCAAAAGACTCGACCTGTACTGTACGGTGGATGGCGGCTCAGAAGGTTGTGAGAAGTTGGTGAGGCGCTTAGTGAGTTCGAGCAGACGGCCAACCTGAAGATTGTCTGCCAGGCCCACCCCACCACAGCCGGCAAGAGAGCCCATCTCTGCACCCTGCCCTCTTTGTCATTCTTGATCTTCTGCTGCTGACTTGTTGGTGCACCGCTGTTGGCGTCTAGGCGGAATATTCCTCAGTCACCTTATTATGAGGTGTGCCGAGGATGCATCCCTCATCACAATAGACGGGTGCATCAGACTCGAGAATCTCGGGGGCCAGGAAAACAAGAACTGTTTCCCGGGCCGCCGAGAACCACAATCTGAGACTGGTCGTGGCTCTGTTTGCTTGCATAGGTGTAGCGCCGCTCAGTTCAGACCTCCTCAAGGAAGAAGTACCCTGCGAGACCAGAGAGGTCATGTTCAAGTCTGTACAGACTTGTATGCCCTTGGATCAAGACTCCTTCATGTGAGAAGGTGTTTGAGTTCCTATGAAGTCAGCATAAGGTCAGTTGATGACTCTCACAAAGTTCAGTGAGGGAACAGAGGAGTTGGGCCTTGTCTACTAACCTGGTTGTCTCACTCTATGTGGGAAGAATGGGTCTTGGATGAAACACTCCTTGTGTCCCTTCTGAGTTGCCGAAAGGATGGAAGACGATCTTGTCCCGGTTGGTTGTGAGGATGATGAATTTGGTGAAGGCGGTGTACTCAATGGGATTTGATGTTTCATCAAAATTTGAGACTGCCTTGATGACTTGGGAAAGAAAGAAAGGGGAGTTGAAGAAATGGGTGCTGATATATATGGAAATAATTTCTTACTGTGATCAAAGTGAGAATCAAAGTGAGATGCAGGTGAGATGCAAGTGAGAGATAAAGTGAGTTGTGAAGTGAACTTGAGGTTGAGTAGTTGTTGAGGTCAAACAATTTCAGCCCATTGCTCGCTTCGTCAATCCAATCTTGCGTTCCCACTTAACAGTCCAAAGTTCCTCAATTTATACATGCGAGTGAACCCTCGCACCACAGCCACAACAACCATATCCTAAATCAAGCAATTCTGTTGGGGTCTTGCGCTCATCTTGGGCCGTTGGGGTCAACACATCGCAAGATAGTAAACCACCAAGTAAAGGTAATGAATAATAAGCATGAAGGCGTGTAAATGTAGTTTCTTAGAGGGCCAGAACAATATCAAATGCTCACAAGACAGGTCACAGTACCACCAGTTCACATAGGCAGAAAATTGCTTGACAAGCTGAGCACAAGACCCAAACAACTCACAAAAACCAACGAGAAAAATTAGTGAGAAGGGCCTTCCACACACGAACACCGAGATGGCGCACGCAAAGTTTACCTTGCACAACAGCCAACATTGCCTCAGTATTACAAGCGAGATGGGGATTGCAAGAAGCCGTTTTCGTGCTTCAGATGCCATGTCCTCCTAGTTATAGGACTCAGTTGACTCAATCTAACATGGGAATCATCTATACTATGTCTTTCTCATCATGTTCAGAATCAATTCAAATTTTAGATGTATATATATATCAGAGGAGTGAACCCCTGAATAAAGGAGAAATGAATGAACAGACAAGTGACGAGACCAATAAATAAAAAGTCCGGAATATCACCAAACTCGTCCTCAAACCTCTCCTGAACACCTTGTCACACCACTTCCTTCTTGACCCTTGTTTGAATGAATACTCGCAGGAAAAGAAGCTATACACACAGAAATAAATAGCCCAGATATCCATCAGGAACACTAACTGCAAAAAGAAAAGACCACGCCTACTACTCCTTTCCATTCTCGTCCTTCAGGACGATAGGGCACTCCACGGCGGCGCCCCGAGCGAACCAGACGGCGCTGCCAGGCTCGACCGCAAATGGATGATTCGAGACGTCATCCCGTTCCCAGAAGCGCCAAAGCCTCGGGAATTTGTCATGCCGGAGGCCACATCTACAAAACCAGTTGGTCAGCATGGACAGTGCGTGTGGCAAGAAAGGGGGAGACGGGGGGAGACAGAGAGAGAGAGAGAGGAAAAGAAAAGAGAAGGCTTACTTCTCGCACGGCTCCTTGTACGGCTTCCAGGCGTGCTGCTGCATGGTGGGCAGGATCTGCTTGACAATGTCCTCCACCTTGGCCTTCTTCTTCTTGTTGCCAAACTCGTCGAGCTCCTCGGTGGCCTCGTTGCCGCCGTTGTCCTCGTCCTCGTCCTCGTTGTCCTCTCGCGGCTCGGACTCCCGGTCGCCGCGCCTCTTGCGATCGTAGTACCGCGTGAACAGGTACTCGTTGCCCAGCCGGCGCGCCACGTCGTTGGCCTCGTGCAGCGACACGAGCCGGCGCCGGCCGGGGAACTGCGCCAGGTACTCCTTCACCAGGTCCCAGATCTGGCCCCGGCGCAGGCGCGACAGCTTGTCCTTCTCCTCGCCGCGCAGGTTGCGCGCCAGCCGGGCCTTGTCGCCAACAAAGTCCTCGACGTCCTTCTTGGCGAGGCCCTCCTGCTCGCGCATGTAGGCCCACGAGTTGTAGGCGAGGTTGCGGAAGTGCGCGGCCGTGAAGCGGTCGCCGGCGACCTCGGCGGGCGTGCGGCCCACGGCGTTCTCGCGGTACAGCAGGTCCGGGTTGAAGTCGAGCAGGGCGCGGATGATCTTGGGGTCGGCGTCGTTGGCGATGAGCGTGTGCAGGACGGTGTCGCCGGCGCCGTCGAGGAGCTCGAGCTCCTTGCCCTTGGAGTAGCTCAGGAGCAGCTTGAGGACGGCGATGGCCTTATCCACGTCTTCATACCTTTGTTTCGAATTGTCGTCGTCAAAGCACCGGGCGATCCAGCTGTGCATCGGAGACTGGCCCTTAAAGGTCAGGCTGTTGCGCTCCTTGAGCATATAGCCCAGCAGGTCTGGATCCAGGAGCTTGAGGAAAGCTCCCAGCGGCTCCGCCTCGGGGAAGGACTGGAGGGCGCCGTGTGCTAGGTTGTTCCACTTGGCATCCTTGGTGCTCTGGTCTGCGCCATTCTTGATGAGGATCTTGGCAAAGTCGGTACGGCCGAGCAAGGCGGCCAGCATCAGCGGCGTGTGGCCGTCCTGTGACTTGGCCGTCACGGAAGAAGGGTAGGCCTTGATCAGATGCTCGAGCAGCGCATTCGACTTCGTGCCCGTGGGGCCCAGGATGAGGGCGTGAATGACCAGATCGCTCTGGTTGCCCAGCCACTTCTTGACCTGCGCGTCGAAGCCACCAGGCGCCTGCGTCAGGTGCTTGAGCCTCGAGTCGTGCTGTGCTGCCTTGGACTTGGAGAACTCCTGGTATTGGCGGATGGGCGAATCGCTGAGGAACCACTCGACGGACTCGATGCAGCCGGCCATGGCGGCGTGCAGAAGGGGCGATGCCTTGTTGCCGATGGGCTTGGAAACCACATTGCGTCCGGCCTGGGCCCAGTCGGACCTCTTCTTGCCGTAGACGGTCAGTCCTTGGTAGTAGCGAGGCTTGTCCTTGATCTCCACACCACTGCGCTTGACGAGGTCCTCGAGAGGCAGACCGGCACCCGTGCGCTTGATGATCTCAGCCAGCATCTCGACACGACCTTCTTCAATAGCATAGTCAAAGTCGAGCTGGGGGAAGGCGAAAATCCTGTTGGGCTCGTCATCCTGGTCCAGCTTTTGAGCAGTGTAGTGGGCGCCAGTGTCGAGCAGGAACTTGAGACCGGCATGATCATTGCGCTGGATGACGGCGCGGAACAGGCTATAGCTGCCGAAGTGCAGATTCTCGACCTTGCCATCACGGACAGTGAAGCTGGGGCAACCCCAGCTGAGCATCTCGAGGGGCTTGGTGCGGCTCTTGACTTGCATCACGACCTCTCCGACATTCTCAATAGTGAAGTGTGTCACGACCTCTTCGCGGTGGATGGAAGGCTCGTCGCCCTCGCCCTCGTAGTACTCACAGTCTGAACCGTCTGAGCAATCGTAGTCATCGTTACGCTTGAGCCTGAACCGTTCCTTCTTCTCGTCCTCTGGCACGTACTGCGCCTTTGCAATTTCCAGGATGGCCCGGGCGACGTCGTAGTGCCCTCGAAGGAAGGCTAGGGAGAAAGGGTTGTTATTCTTGTTGTCCTTGACAGCGATCTTCAGCGGCGGCTCGGAATCGTCTACTCCCCAGGCGCCAAGGGTGAGCTCCTTGATCTTTCCCAGGTCGCCGCGCCACGCGGCCTCAAACAGTTCAATGTACGCAAGCCGTCGTGCCTCTGTCACATCGATGGCCCCAGAGAAGGTAACCTTGAAGTTGTAGTGAGTAGTGGTCTTGTCCGAATCGGTCGTGGACGATGCGGCCTTCTTGTTCTTGAAGTCCGGGTAGAGATCATCATAGTGTTTCCCTCCCTTCTCCAGAATCATCTTCTCGATCTTTTCCAGGTCCGCGATGGCCTCCGCAATGGCCTCCTTCTTCTCCTTGAGACCCTTGAGCTCCTTGGCCTTCTCCACCTCCTTTGCGTGCTCCCTCATCTGCAGAGCATACCGGTTGCGGGCCTCGTCGTAGTCGCTGTGCACCAGCCAGTGCTGCCAAGTGCCTTCCTTGAGATCCTGGAGATATTTATCGGCGTCCTTGGTGATATCGACCGGCTCACGCGGGGTCTCGCCCTTGTACTTGCGAAGCTCGCCGAGCTGCTTCTGCACAAGGTCGAGCGCGGATTCACCGCGGTCATAGCCGCGCCACCACGACCTCGCAAATATGCCATAGGCGGTGGTCGTGATTGCATTAACATCGGCTCCATGCTTGATGAGCTCGATTGCGGAAGCGGGCCGGGTCGAGCGAAGTGCAGTGATAAGCGGCTGCTCCGTCGACTCGTTGAGCATCTTCTTGTTCTCTTCGAGAGTGGAGAGGCGGTTTGCAGCACCTGATTGCTTGGCTGCCTTGAGCCAGGTCTCGAACTCAACTTGGGGCGCCGCACCGGCTTCAAGGAGCTTGATGACGAGCCTCACGTCGCCGTTGGTCATGGCGGCTTGAAGCGGGCTGACGGCCCGGAAGGCGGTCGGGAAGGCAAAGAAGTTGACAGCAGTCTTGGAGCCCGACTTGTCGAGCTCAAAGAGGAGTTCGATCAGGGTAGCAGCATTCTCCTCGGCGAAGCGGTGGAAGGCGGTGAAGCCATCCGTATCTGCCTGAGCGCAAGTAGCCCCCAGGTCTAGCAGGGTTTGGACCATGGTCTTCGCCTTGTCCAGGGGCAGCGCCAGAGCCAGCACCAGAGTGAGCAGGGCTCCCGTCTGCTGGTTGTTGTAGCCGAGGAACTTGATGGGCAGGAGCACATCAGCGCCGTATTCCTGGCAGAGCAGTTTGACGACCTCGTGGTGGCCCGAAACGATGGCAAGATGCAGTGCGGAGCAAGGATGGTCCCAGGCAAGCACGTTGACGTCGTAGAAATCGGGCTCGTCCTCGTTTTCATCAGGAATGGGATCTGCTTGAGCCTTCTTGCCCACCTTGACAAAGGATCCAGTTGCCATGCTCTGGACATCGGCTTCAGACTCATCGTCTTCCAAGAGCTCGAGATCAGATTCTTCAGACTCGTCTCCGGACTCTTCTTCGGACTCATCAGACTCGATGATTTCCTCCTTGTTGGGCGTATCGGACACAACTACGTCTTCCTTCTCCGTGCCCTTCGCTCCAGCGGGGTTGGTAGTTGCCGCACGGCGCTTATCTTGCTTCTCTTCCTCCTCGGCCTCGTTCTCCAGACTTTTCTCCATAAGGATCTTGACCATCTCCAGATTGCCACGCTCGGCGGCCAGGTGCAGCGCTGTCTTGCCATCAGCAAGGCGGGCGACCAGCCTGGCGCCTGCATTGACCAGGCATCGGACAATCTCAGGGGTCGAACTCGTCACGGCAAGATGCAGCGGGGTGCGTCCGGTGTAGTCGCGCTTGTTCGGGTCGGCGCCCTCCTGAGCGAGCCAGTCCTGTACATGCTCCAGGTTGCCATCCACAATGTCCTGGCACAGGCGGGAGGTGTTACCGACATAGGCCATCTCGGTCCAGTCATCGTCAGTAAGGGGGTTGAAGGAGCCAATCTGCTGGCGACCTGGGTCGTCCTTGATGAAGGAGATTTCACCCGAAACGTAGATCTTGTTCTCCTGTTCAGCCACCTCGAGCTCCTGCTCCGTCTCGGCTTTGGGGCAGAAGCCGCAGCAGTCGTGGATAACATCCTCAAAGCGGCCAAAGAAGGCCGGATGCCTGTGCAGGTGCACCTCGCGGTCCTTAGGCTGGTTCCACTCGGCATTGAGCAGCAGATCGCGCGTGTAGCAAAGCTTCTCAATCTTCTTGGCGTGGAACTTCTGGCCGTAGGGAATGGTGAAGGTGTGGTAGTTGGAAACGTCTTCGGCGTCGACCCACTCAGCCACCTCGTCCTCAAACGAGTCTTTGATGTTGCCATAGAGGACATGCTGCTGAGAATTGTTCAGGGGCGGCCGGCCCCTCTCGGCACGTCGCTTGGACCGGTACTGTTCACGAGCCGTGGTGGTCGGCAGCTGCTCCAGTACCAAGAGCCTTGCCAGACCCAGCGTGCGCTGGAAGCTCCTCTCGAAGATGGTAGGGTCAATCCTGGAGCGGTCAAGGTCGGGCCAGTAGACCTCAAAATTACGGTGGCTGTACTTGGAGAGGCGGTTCTCGTACGATGGGCTGCGACGAGTCAGATCGATCTGGTTGAGCTGGGTCATGTAGGCCTGCAGAGCACGCGGCGTGCAGTAGACCTGCTTGCCATCGTAGGCGGCCCCGGAGCAGTCGATATCAAAGCCGGTGAGAATCTCACTGATGGACTTGTAGATACGGAGGACGATCTGGATGTGGCGAGTGGGGTACTGGCTGCAGATGGTGATTGCGTGCTTGGTCCGGACCGTGGTTGTCTCGGTCAGGATGGAATCGCGGATACACGACTCGATTTGCTTGATCTTCTCGACCGCCTCCTCCTCGCTGAGGCCGTAGAGGAAGAGATCCACGTCCGAAGCAGGGCAGAATTTCTCGTGGTAGTACTCGCGAAGTGACCGCTTCGAGCCGCTAAACTCATCGGGAACCGGCAAGAGGCAGTTGACCACGGCGGAGCCGGCCACGACAACATTGTCCCAGTTCATCTCGGCCATGGAGGACTCGCAAAAGACGTTGAAATTCCTGCGGAAGTCCTGGAGCGATCCAACCGTAGCGGGAGAGCCGTTGGGCCGGCGCCGGTCTTTGGGCAGAGCCATGATGTACTTTTCCTTCTCCTGATCCGGCTCGTTCTCCACATCACGGGCCCGGACCTTGATCGCCCCAGTGTGCTCGGTGAAGAGCGGCACCACATTGATGTGATGGTCTTTGAGGATCTCGGCGTCGGGCCCTTGTGCATACAGCTGCCGGAGCTCGGCTTCGAACTTTCTGTAGGGCTCAAAGAACTCAGGCAACGGCTGGTCCGGGTTCTCGGCCAGGAGCCTTGCCACATCGACCGTAGGGGCCGGCAGTGGAGGCAGACCGTATGAGTCCATATTGGCGGCTGGCGTGGTATGTGAGTGTCCAGTCAATTGGCCGTCGGACCTGCTATGTGGTGGAATGCTGGAAGAGGTGTAATACAACGCTTGGCTATTTGCAAAGATCAAGGAGGCACTCGATTGAGATATCCTGAGAGAAGGGCTCAATTGACGTGACTGATAGTGTACAGGAGTGAGGGAATAGGCACGGGCTGCTCGGTTTACAGCACAACGGAACGCCGGCCGTGGGAGGAGGAGAGGGAAGATGGAGCGGGCAAGGGGAGACATGCAGAGTGGGTTGATCAGGAGGACATCATCACGACAGGAGAGGAGACCAGCTCCTTTTATAAGATGTCTAGCTCGACGAAATTGAAGCCCAAGCAGCATCGTCTGTCCGTACTAAGGAGAGCGTTCGATGGAGCTGAGACAGACTTACACCCACGAATTCTGGGGTGGCGCCGTTTGGATCGCGTTAGGGCCTCGGCATCGCGACTTCTGCCTGCGCCCGCCAGCGCTGCGAGGATCCTTGCAAACGCGAGATGCGACACGAAGTCTTGTGATCTGGCAGCTTCTGCCTGCAGACGCAGCCCATTGGCCATGATCTGCACTTTCGACATCACCACACCGCCGGGTCTGGCTCGAAACATACACCAGATAATCGATGCAGATGGCCATGTCTGCCTGCTGTTGCCTTGCGATGCTCTCCTGTCTTGAACTGCCAAGCATGAGCTATCCTTGAGCTATCCTGAACTAATCCACGACAGTGAGGATCTCTCTGAAGCTTTTCTGCTTGCGGCGATTTTTAGCGGACTGCGGCTGAGCACGCCCCACTGAATTCTCCCCTGTACAGCCACCCTGTCACTGAAAATAAACGGCCCTAAGTGTGCTCTGGCACTTGTTTCAGGAACGGTGCCACGAGTCGGTGGTTGAGTCTAAGACGGCCTTGATCCGTATGATATCGATCATACCACTGAGAATGAAGGTGACAGAATTGAAGAGCTCGATGGAAAGCACATGAATTACGGGGACCAGTACAGCTCTTGAGATACTGATATTGTTTTCAATGTGTCTCAATTGCGAAGGCTTACAGGAACGAAGTAGTTCCGCCTGATTCTCGACCATTAGGTGGTTATCAACTCAGTCTACATCAGTAGCGAGCAAACTACCTATTGCATAATTCGATACAAGTTGGGTTGAATGAATACAACCACAGGCCAGAATTACCACTAAGAACAACTCAATCAAAGTCTGTTTGCAACTGCAAGTAACGATCAGCATAGGCCATCAATAAACTCACCACGGCTAGTCGCAAGTAGCCAACATCAACCTGCACTGCTCGATATGGATATCTCATGACAATTGGCTCTCTATCTGCTGCAAGTATTATCTTAAGGAGGCGATGACTTTGATCCTACACTCTTGTGTCCCAGGTCACCTCTAAACCCAATAAGCAAACATAAACGCCCGAAGATGTTGATTCCTCTCTCTCACTTCCACTCTTTCGCTCTCTCGGAATCATTGGATATTATCACAGAGCAATCGCTCCCCGTCTGCTCTCCCGCATATGTAGCAGTCCTTGCAGGCCGCAAAATACCAGGAAGCCCTAAATTGCAATAGTCAGCACCTTTTCCGTTCTAGCACGCAGTCCCCCGTGGGAAAGAGGGAAAGGAAAACACACAGCATAAATAATGACGGCAATGAATATCGTCCCCGCGACCTGGCCGCCGTTCTCGGGGTCCTCCTCACCGCCGACAAACTCATGGTGCTCGTTCTTGAACAGTATGCCGAGGATGGACAGTATGACGATGGCGAAGACGGAGATGACGACGCTGCGGGTTTGGTAGAAACGCAAAAGAGTCAGCAAGGCGAATCCTTCCATCGGAACCCCGTACAGGAGAGCCTCTCCTGCTGCGGCACACATGTCCCACCCAAAAGAGCTCGGCAAACTTACCAGGACCACGCCTGCATGGCGCCGACGAGGGGCTTCATGCCGGGCAAGCTGCTGGCCGCGAAGCCGGTGCGGGCGTGGGCGGCGGAGGCGACGGGCGCTGGGAGGTTTCGCGAACGGATTCTGTTGTGTTGGGAGCGCTCGCGGAGTTCGATCGAGGAGCTCATCAATTCGTGCAAGAGATGGAGGAGCACGGGTGGTGATTGGGAGGGGATGGGGAAGCAACTGTCGTCGTCGATGTTGTCGGCGACGGCGGCTCGTGGCGCTTTCGCTCCAATGGTTGGCTGTCATCGTGCATCATCTGCAGCGAGAGCTCCCTTAGTAATTAAGCGCCCGAAATACCAGGCAGCAAAAAAGCCGTGGGTCATTCGCCCGATTAGATAAGAGCTTGGGTTGCTTAGCGCAACTCCCGCGTACGTCCCAGCTGCGCGCACTGGAGCTACCGACGTAATAACCGGGCCCAAGCACGTCTTGGGATTAAGGCTCGTGATCGATTGTGCTTGTCCGGCATGTTCTCACCCTTTCAATTCTACAAAAAAACACCAGCATTAAACGGTTGTTTCCCAAGAAATAAACGAGCCGGATACCAGGACTTCTCCTCATCTGGATGAGGTGGTAGGCGATAACCTTATCCCAGCCTGCCATGGGACCGGTAGCGACGCTCGGTCGCACACCTTATTGAGAACTCACCACGGTACTCGACTCTGCGGTTTCATGCGCCGGCAGACCTCGATCCCGACCGGCAAACCTTCGTGTCTCGTTACACACGTCTCTTTCAAAACAACCTCCGAGCCACATTGACCATGTTCCAGGTGCGATCCCTCCCCCCCATCACATGCAATTTTATTCCATTCCCCCATTCCGTTGTACTGACTCGGGAGGACGGCAAGGCCTTCCAGCCCAACCCGGAGGACCGCCTCCACCTCCGCCTCCACCGGGCACGGTCGGTCATCCTGACGCCGGAAGAGTAAGTCATGTCACCGTTCCACAGCCCAACTCAGCCAAACGACCTCATGGCCCGGTTGCTTTTGCTTCCACCCTTCCTCTACCTCCCTCCCTCCCACCCAGCACACAGCGCATCTCACCTCACACTAACCCCCTTGCCCCCAAAAAACAAGGCTCGTCGAGATCCGCGCCGCCCAGCGCACCTTCGAGGGCGCCTACATGCGCACCGCCCTCTCGCAGTTCTCCTTCGCCCTCATCATCCTCAAGATCTTCACCTCCGAGTTCTACGCCATCGGCGCCCTCTTCGCCGTCTACGGCGCCGCCGTCATGCTCGTCGCCGCCTACCGCCGCTACGAGGGCAACCGCCAGTTCTTCAGCGAGGACGTGCTCGAGGAGGACGAGCACGACCCGGGCTCCGCCGTCGTCACCCAGCGCAAGCGCTTCCGCACCTCGGGCAACAGCGTGCTCATGCTCACCCTCCTCAGCCTGTCCGCCTACATCTCCCTGCTGGTCCTCTTGTGGGAGCTGAATGGGTAAGATGAGATGATGAGGGTTGCCATGCTCTTTTCCTGGTGTGTACTCGGGTTGAGCAGCTCAGATGTATTGAATGATAGTGCCTCAAGTTTTGAGATAATGTAATGATACAAAATGATACTACGACCTTGAAGTTCTCCATCATTTAAGCAGGCGCAGTAAAAGAAGAGTGCTCCCATATCTTTTTTGACTTTGTCTCAGAAGCAACATGAACACGGCAAACTCTTGGAGCACCTTGTGTAATGAAACACATCTGGTTGAGAACCTATCTTATACATTTCCCATGTTCTTCACGACTTTTAAAGTTGCAAAAGTTGTACGGAATTATGGCTTCAATCCCAAGATCTATCAAAATACAGATGTAATATTCCCGCCTTTTTGAACCCCGATTTTCAAAGCACCTTTTTCCTTTTCCTTGACAATGACAACCTCGACACAACCCACATGTACTTTTGCGTCTAGGTGATGTACTTAACGGAAACGACGACGACAAGGAAAACACTATGAAGTTGATACAGTAAATAAGGAAAGAAAAGTATGAATAGTCAAACAGAAGAAAACAAAATAAGGAAAGAATTAAAGGAAAATGCATGCAGAACTCATGTATAAAGACGTTCACCATATCCTCTACCCGCGGCCTCGGGACTCGACCCTGTCCGACTGCCCTCATGAGATAAGGCTTGGTGGTTTTGTCTTCTTCCCGCCTTCACCAGTGCCGTGCCGTCATTTTTGTTCCGGCAGATGCCACGTCTCGTCCCGCCCAGGCGGGACGATCCCGGGCCAGGACGGGAGGACTGCGAGGCGGGATCTATCCTCCCAGCCGCTCCCGACGCCCGTCCCGTCGGCAGACGAGTTGCATATGCATGCGAAGAGACATGCACAGCCCGCCGTTCGCATGGCTCTCTGCCGCTGCCGTGCATGAGGATGCCGTTTTCTGCATGCAAAGGAGAGGATTTCCGTCTCAGTAAACTCCAGACCGCGTTCAATCAGTCCCTGCCGCCCGAAATGTTATACACTTGATGCTTAGTATATGCTCCATTCTAATGGTTCTAGGTGTCGATGCGAATGTTTTTGGCCTGGCAGCAAATCGCCCTTTTTGCAATATTTGACGAGGCCAGGCCAATGAGGTGTGGAATGACTAGATTGGCTGCCGGTGTCGTTGTTATTGTTGTCATCGGCGGTTGTCAATTGGCTCGCCCTCTGTGTGTGTTGCCAACTCTGGGCACACACTTGCAAATAGGAGTGCTTGACCCAACAGCCTAAAGCTCGCGCGCCCGTCCAAACCGCTGAACGCATTACACAACACATTACTTGCTGATTACTCTCGGAGCCATCTGACCGTGTTGTCTTGGAGAAGTGCGGCTCGGAAAGCCGCTTTCGTAAGGTTGGTGGACGTGACAGGAACCCGGATTTCCCAAATAGCAATCGTTGCGCCAGACAAGTAAGTACCTTTGTCCCTGGCCGACTTCGTCTGACAAGATGATTTGCACGATCCGACCGATTCGGTCCTCACCCGCCGTGTGATTGGGTTCAAAGACAGTGCACACTGCCTGTCGAGTTTCGATCCTTGCGCTAGAGTCCGGCGCCAGAGCGCACTAATTCAAGACTCTTCTGCCCTTGCGATCTTCTGTGCTCGACATCTACCATCTTCATATTTTCCTTCTTGTTAGTCCCTGTCGAGGGAGCATTCGCTTGCGAAATCGGGGGCAGACATGTTTTGTGTGACAGCCGTCTGTGTCGCAAATCCCCCACGCTCCTAGAGTGAAAACTGCAAGCGCTCAGGCAATTTTCCCAATCCGCAAGGTGCTGGATTCGAAATGTCTTGAATGAGCTGGCCAACTTGTTTCACTTGTCAATTTCCGGGAAAGCGGCTCAAACACTCTTTTGACATCGCCGCAATCGACAAATCCATGGATGGATTTGTCTCCGCAAACCCTTCACGCAGACATTGCGGCTCTGGCTATGCGCCCGACCATGAACCAGATTGCAGTCTCCCCCCAACAGTCGTCCAGCAACGTGCTCTCCAGCAAGCCATTCATCCACGCCGAAGGACGCACTTTGAGCTTGTCGCAATCGCAGCGTCAGAAGATGCGCGCGGGAGCCAGCGGGCTCAGCGAGCCCCGCGCTGCAGGCGCTCAGCGGGTGGCATAGTACATGCTCTGCCCCTGAGGGTGTGTCTGTTCCGGAGGATGCTGGACGTGGTCGTTGGTGCTGAGCGCCTGCGTGCTCGAGTTCTCATGGTACCAGCCGCTATACCCTTCGCTCGGCTTCGAGTATGTATAGGACTGCTGCCAGCTCCCATAACTGGAGGGCGGCACAGCTCCGGCGGACAGTGAAACGCTATGCTCCAGCGTTGTGCCCGGAATGCTATCGACGCCCGGTATCGTGGTAGCAATCTGCGAAGGGTACATGTCGGCGGACAAGGGCCCGGACTTGCGATCGTACGGTCGACCTGCTTGACCGGTCATCTGCGAGATGGAGGGGTATTGAGTATGGCCGATGCCATCATTCCCATATGGCATGGATCGTGGTTGAGGAGCCGAGTAGGACGACCAGCCCATGTCTTCCCGTGAAGAAGACTCTGAGCTCACAGATCCCGCCCAAGCAGCCGACGGCGGCGCATGCGGCGTGTAGGGAGAGAAGGCGGGAGTGATTGGCGACTCTTGAGGATAGGTTCTCCATGTCGCACTCAGGTCACCTGGCTTGGATGAGTTTGGGCCCGCATCTGCGAATTTCCAGTTCGACGTACCAGGATGGCCATATTCAAACCCTCGTGTTGCGGATGCGCTCGATGGCACTTGACTCGCGTCAGCTCAGGACTGGTCCCTGCCGTCGAAGTCGATGGCTGGAAAGAGGGCAAGGGGTGACTTACATTTGCCGTCTGTCTGGTAGCTGTCTGGCCCGGCATGTTTCAGCGCCGGTGGCGCCATGTTCTGGATGGAGGGCATGGCCAGCTGCGGGTAATGGCCCGGCATGTCCGCAGGATGTCCGCTTGCCATCGCTGGGGATGACGAGGCAGATCCCAATTTTGGCCCGACAGACGACCGCGATCCAGATTTCTGTCGAGGGTCAGCCGGCGGCGGCTGCTGGTCTACGGGGTAAAAGCTGCAATCCTTCTTCAATCGGATGCAGTTTACACAACGCCCCTGCAAGTCGGCCGGCGACGGGATGCATCTGATCTTTCGTCGTCGGCAGTGTCCTAGGCCTATTGTCAGAGAACGCGCACTTTCGAGAACAGCAGCCGACAAACAAGAAGCTGCCGTTCTACGTCGGATTGGAGGGAAGACTTACCGCAAGCGACGGACGTTCGATGATAACCCAGCTTGTTTCTTCTCTTCTCTGCCGCCCCAAGGCCCATCCCGGCATGCTCAGGGGTCGTGCTCTGAGGCACGGGCGGCGGAGGCTGCTGCGGCCTTACACTCGGGCTGGACATCGATCTCTTCAATTTGAGAGCCTTGGAGATGGAATCTCGACGGTCGCGAGGGGAAATGCTTGAATCTTGGTCAGATCTCAAGTCTATTGCTGATGATGGCGGTATTGCAGCGTACTCCGGCATGTACCCAGGAGGTGGCAATCCCATGTCTGCCCCGTTTTGAGGAGGCGGCGGAGGATACTGATAGGACATTATATCTGTCATGGGCCTGGATGATACGAGACCTTTGGGGGCAGCAATCTTTGGCGTTGCCCAAGGGTCTGGTTGTGTTGCCAAGAATGGAGTAGCGACAACGGCCATGAAACACAGCTTTCTCCTGACAGGGCGTTGATGGTCGAGGAAACCACAGAGGCTCGGCGACCAGCAGATACCCGTACCAGGAACCTGTGGCGATGGTTCTTAATGCGTGCAGCTCGCACGCAGTTGAGGATCTGGTTGTCTGCGTCTCAGGCTCCGTCCTGGATGGTGTGATCTTTGGAGGGAAGAGTGCTATGGCATAGCAAGCAAGAGAAAGGCTTCCCTTTTGGATACGAACAGAGCAGACCAACTTGATTGGTAAACCAAGACGAGGAGGTCTGTCTGAGCGTCAGTGGGAGGGGGCCTTAGGACAACAAAATAAGGACAAGACCTGTCGACGGTCGACGGGATGCAAGTCAGGTAGCGAGGGACTGGCGGGCCAATCGAGATGAGGGCTGTGGTGGTGCAGCAGAGGCGTCTGCTGCGGCAGTGAGAGTTGCGGGAAGGGGGCCACTTATGACTGGCAGGGGGCCTTTAAAATATCCCGGGTCCTGATCTGAACGGTGGCGGCAGGTCTTACTGCAAGGGTCCAGTCCGACACGGCAGGCGAGCAGCGCGATGGTGCAGGTCCCAAGTCCAGCTCCAGCTCCAGGTCCAGGTCCAGCGGGAGAGCGTGCGTGTGGGCAGGCCAACTCTGGGGCCGGGGTGGGCTACCTATGGCTGTCAGTGTCAGTCTACTCCAGTCTGCGTGCGTGCCTGCTTGGTGCTTTGAGAGGTGGTGGGATCTGGGTGGTCGGGGTCGGGGGTCGGGTGCCAGTGCCAGTGCCAGTGCGCATATAGGTGGGCAACGGCCGGGCTCTGCTTACAACGGTGGTGACCTTGGGGAGGAGTCCAGTGGGAGGATCCAAACACGGCTCCGCGGCGGTCTCCCCAGCTTTTCGAGGGCGAGTACCTGATGCGGAATTGGGCGGACGGCACCAGCAGGGGTCGTGCCGTGGTTGCTGTATTTGGCAGTTTCAACACGACGCTCCGGCAGGTTGACACTTGCGGGACCTCCAATGAGCTGCGCTGCAGTGACTGGGCCGTGGAGCGTGTTTCTTGCCCTCTTTTTTCTTTCAATATAAAAAAGAGAGAAAAAAAAGAGATATGCAAACACACACACACACACACAAAGTACGGGCGGCGGTTATATCTCAGACAGAGAGATCGAGAGATGGATGTTGGTGCTGTCTGTGTGTTGTAGCGTTGTATGAGTGTGTGGGTGGGTGGCTTTTTTTTTAGCAACTTGACCAACTAACAGCAACAACTGTCAAGACTTGCTTCATTTGTCAGTGCTGACGACAAAGCAGTGTCTCCCAATACCAGAAGAATGGGGGAAGCCAGAGCGAGAGACACGCAGAGAATGAGAGACAGAAAGCGAGAAAGAGCCCAGTGTGGAAGAAGGAAGGATCCTCCTGCAGGGTCGCAAGAGAGAAAGAGGACTGCTGAAGGGGAGGACCGGACGGAAAGTTAAAAATGGCAAATGGGAAATGGGAAATGAGCGATACGGTATGTAAATGATGGATGATGGCATAACGGACTGACATGGTGAGACGAAAGTTCAGGCAGGAGCCCTCGACCTTCAGCACCACCTGCTGCGCTCGCCCAAAACTGCACCTCCCAGCTACCTAGGTATTGTCGAGGACGAGGATCGAGGACAAGGGACGCAAACAAGATGAATCGACTAACCTTCTCAGCCACTCACGAGCTCGACCTGAAGCTCAAGTTTCTTTTCTCTACCGGTCACCGCTCGGTACTGGGTATCCTCCTCGACTAGTCCTGACGACAATGGCGAATGACAGGTCGCAAAGCACAAGCAGGACGGTGGGTATGCCAGCATCGACGACGACGGCGGCGGCGGCGGCGGCGACAACGACTCGCTACAGGCCCAGGGCGCCTTGCTGGCTCGGAAGGCGAACGAAGTGTATGGTTTGCTTGCGCGCTAGAAGCTGATCCAGGAATTCAGTGGACGCGATGCCCAGTCGTGGTCTGGCTTTGTCTCAACACGCCTTCGATTCGATGGGGCGAGGAACGGGCCAATGGCGTATGTCTTACACTTTGTTTTTCCTTTCTTTTTTTGCTTTTCCCTCGACTGTCTTGACCAGCAAGCAGCTGTATGGCGCCAGGTGGCTCGAGGTGAGTAAGGCTGGTCAGCTAAGTATTGACTCGAGTGAGATTTTGTTGTCCGGAGTCCGAGTGGAGGTGTATATCAAGGCTTGTTTTTTTCTCTACGCAGAGGATAACCTCCTTTGGGGGTGGTGTGTTGCAGGCGGTCGAACAAGCGAGCAACTCCTGTCGTCGCTCGTATGTCTTTACGATCAGCAATGCGGAGGGTTCTCGAGTGAGTAAGCAGGACTATGGCTTGTTCAAAAAGTCGCTGCACAGTTGTGGCTGGAGTGCTGATTCTCGGCTCGTTTCTCTGGTGTCTTGCTTCCTCTTCTCTTCTTGTGGGAGTCGTGTGCGTGCGTGCGTCGGTGTGTATATCACCAAGGATGTATTTTGTTGAACGAGTGAATATTGGGGCTTAGCACCTCTAGGATGAACGAGGGACAAACAAAGACACTACTAGACTGCTTGGGAAAAGAAAGGAAGGTCGAGATAGTCCTTCGAAGGGCAAACAGGCGAGATTAAATTTGACTTTTTGTCTTGATAGACAGTCAATTGCGAGGAGACAAGAAGAAAAAAAAAAGGACCGGGTTGTACTCCGTTCTCTCTGTACCAAAAGATGTGGTTGTGGTTGGGGGATGAATTCGACGTTTTGAAAACCTGCATCCAATTCATCCAATTTTTTTTTTCTATCTCGCGTCTTTCGACATTGCCAAAGGCTGAAACGCAATATTGACAAAAAGTGCCTCTTCGGAACGAAGCACGGGTTTGCTTCCAGTGCTTCCACAGCGACCCTGACTAGTCAGAGCTCATCTATCTAGAATATTAACCGATTTGATATGCAGCAGGCATGATGCTACTTCATCCCAGTCCTGGCGACCCAGCCACGGACAGCTTACCCAGGTTGTCAAGGGATAGAAGCCGAGACAACAAGACCCCCCATAAAGAGAGGGGAGAGGAAGAGAGATAGAGAAAGGTGTACACTTGGGGTAGAGCAAACAATCCATGGGCCATCCAGAACGGCTTTGCATTGCGCGGCGAAAACCGAGGAATACACGGCCCTCGTCCCACATAGAGGCACACCCTCCAAACCCTACCACACCCCATGGGTGTTGGTCATTGGAGTGGAAGGTAACATATGTCGGTACCCAGCCCAGTAGTGCAGGGCTGGGCAGGCCAATAGGTACTTTGGGTGTACAGGCATGGCTACAGAGATTCTGGGTGCCGGTCAGGTACCCGAGAGATGCGCCCGTCTATTTCCCTGAAATAGCCCGTCTGCAGAGTGTCTGTGTGGCTAGAGGTCGTGTGTGCACAGATACTGCACACTTGGCAGAGAATTCTAAATCAGGCTCCTGATTGTCGGCGTCTCAGGCACGGCTTCTGCTTGGTTAGCCGGATAGGCTCGAAACTTGCACCGGTTGGCTGATTCTTGTTGTCCTTCTCGTCCGCCGATGTTGTCGTCCTGATCTTCCTGGCCTCATTGTTCCTGGCATTTTTAGCCATTCATCCCATGTGCCATGTCCTCAGATCTATTCAAGCGGAGGGATCCACCCTCCTCCTCAGAACCCCAGACATCCCGCCGTGCACGCCTCCACCTGGCGTCTTTTTGGGCAAGGCCAGTCCGGCATGTGGGTACAGGTTCGTGGCTCTTGATGTCTGTGTATGGGGCGTCGTCGAGGGCAAATGTACTTGTAGCAAAGATACCACCTGCGTGTGGGAGGGAGGAGAGCAAAGCCCCATCCCATATGCCGTTGCCGCTGAGAAGCCACCACGCGCATCATATGCGGGCAGGGTTACGATCCATTCGCCAACGCCCGCCACCTTTTCCAGATGCGCTGCTCTGTGTCCATGTCCGTGTGGGGCCCCGTGACGGGCACTGATGCCAAAGGTCAAGCAGATCGGGACTGTGGGCCACGTCCCGAGGTGTGCTTAGGTACATAAAACAGTACAGCACAAAGACCTTGTCGTATCTTGGAGAGACGCCAGACCTAGGCGCTCCGTATTCCGGAGAGTGGAACGGGTGCAGACTGTGGACGGACATGTGCTGAGCCATCCCACACCCGAAGGTTCGCCGACGTTGTCAAAGGTCAGTGGTGAGAGGGAAGCCTAGGTGAATATGTCATGGGCCATGATTCGCTGGCTGCAAAGCATTGTCTGACCGTCTCGTCTTCTAACAGGGTTACTTCCAGAAGACACCTACCCTTGGGTCGAAAAGAGGACCAGGTGGGAAGCACTTGCCCGCTGGCTGCTCATTCGTCATTATGGGCAGGGTTCGCCCTCGAGATGGGTAGCTGTAAGATCTGTGCCAGGCACGCCAGGGCACCACTGCAGGCCACCCCTGCCATGATGCCTGTCTGTCCTGGTGATCTCAGCGCGAAAATAGTTCGAATCCTGCACAAAAAAAATTGAGATGAAGTGCAGGGGTCCGGAAAGCCTGCCAGCCACATCATCATCATGCTAGGGTGTAAAGTTAGAGAAAGCAGAGCCTGTTTTGCATGTTTGTGCAGAGGCAGCGCAGGTACAGTGTCCCATTGCATTCCTCCACTCTTGACTTTGGCTGGAGGTAAGTGACTACTGGACCGTGCTGGGCTCCGTCTCGCCTTTTCCATTCGTTTTCCTCTTGTTCTTTCAGGCTATCTAACCCACTTGGGTTAGAGATAGACAAGTGGTCACTCACCTTGAGGTATGCATGGCTGTCTGGCGATCGAGAGATGGCCGGCACGCACATCAGCCATGGAGTCTACTCCCAGGTGTCCGATCAGTGACACCGCAAGGAGCTTATACGTATCTCGAAATGGGGTGTTCTTTTG